ACACCCCAGAAAAAGCCCAGATGCTATTGAGAGCGGACCCCACAACAAAGATCTGCATTGCGCGCACTGCGCGGCCATGGTGCTTTTCGCCCGTTGGGTGGGCGCTTCCCCCACTTTGATCAGGGGGGCCGAGGGTTGTCCACAGCACTGCATTTACAACGCGGGAGACGCGGCAGGCTTCAGGCTCTCTCTCTGCACTTTTCGTTGGGTTGGATTTGCCAAGGCCATGGATATCTGCCTGTTTTGCGCCCATATTACGCCAACTTCCTCTCTGCGGCCACCAGCGGCCATCCCAACGCTGGTGCTCTGACCACCAAGCATACAAGATCAAGCCAGCGAGCCATTTGCCGCTCGCCACTCGGATGCCAGCGGCGCTGCCCCCGGCCCCCTCGGCCTCTACTACAGCGTTGCATCCTAGAGCCACGGGGGCTAGGTCAGCGCGCAAACACAGCCACGTGATAACACTTTCATCCGATAATCCACGCAAAGCCTCTCCCTGTCCTCACGCCAGGCTCCACACTACATTCATTGATTACAGGCTCTGCCTTCTGTTGCCTTGAGCCTGTTGCAAGACTGCGCTTTTTGAACATTTCAGCTATCCCAGGTAGTTCTAGAGCCCTCTACAATGTCTCACGCGCAAGTCGGCCACGGCCGCCTGTTCCCCGTCCCTTATCTGTACTTGACTTACGTCTGCATCTCCAATCTCAACTGCTATGCTTTCGGCCTTGCGTGCTGCATGTCCTCTCGCCCCTACATCTGTCCCTCAATTTGTGATGAACGCGCCCCTCTGCTGCCTGCCTTGGCGGGCTGCCTCCTGCCAAAAGTTGTGCCAGCTGGCGCGTCTCAACCTGCCTCTGACTACCAGCAGTTCTCCTTCACACCTATCAAATGGGTGCCTCGCTTGTGTCCCCATGACCAAGCCACGCATGGTACAAAAATTAGCCCCGCGCTTTGCAAGCATGCCTCGAGTGAGTCTTGTGTTCACAGAGTGCTTCCACTCTCACCCAACACTCGGTTGCTTGTCCGTGCGCTCCGCTGTCCATGCCCTGGCCCAAGCAAGCCTGTGCGTCATTGCCAGTGCGTGGTGCTGGGCAGAGCAGTAAGGAGGCGTTATCGAGAATCCGCCCTGGGGTTGATGCCACCTGCACCCGCATCAGCATGTCGTCGCCCACGCACACGTGCCAGGCTCCTGGGGCTCTCTCTTTAGTACTGCGCTTTCAGCACTGCATTTTTTCATGCCTGCATTTGACCATTGCATCAGCTCGAGGTGGCGCACCATCACTACGGCGCGCTGCACACCACGTGCACGTGCGTGCATGCGTGCGTGCGTGCAAGTGTGTGTGCATGCGCGTGTGTGTGTGCGTGACTGTTGGTGTGTGTGAGTGTGTGTGTTGCAAACCAGAAGCTTTAGTAAGCCTGTTGAGCACATTCATTGCACTTGAGTTGTAAAAGATGAGGGTTGCGCTGACAAGGATTGCATCCTTTTTATGGTCTATGGCCGATTGCTACTGATCCTCCCTCGAGTGTCCGAAGCAAATGCAGTTCAAGAGGATGCACGAAAAAGTCTTGAATGGCGCTCCTCCTGAGCACAAAGAACGGTTGAATTCTGTGGTTCTTTTAAAATGCTCTGCTATTGCTGTCGTGGGGCGACCAAGCACGCGACCCTGCAAGTATGTGTTGTTGTGTGGACAGGCACGTACATGGATACGTGGACATGTGTCCATCATGCACGGACACTGCGTTTGGGGAAAAGGTTACCTTGTTTGTTCAACCAGCAAGGCGCGGTCACAAAAACGGTTGGCATGCAACACCGATTCCGCCCATGCGTGGGTCCATGGGGCCATGGAGCGTGTGCATTACATGGACACACAATCAAATGCACATATGTCACCACGACAGCGCACCCCGACCCTTTCTGATCTCATCTCACAGCTTGCTTCTGAGGCGCTGTGTGTTACATGTTATCTCCGCAACGCGGGGCAGAGGGCAGCGTCTGCGTGGTCACCAGCTGCTCAGATAATTTGCAAGATAATTTGCTGCCGCTGGGGGCGACGCAAAAAGTATTACGCTGCACGTGGGACCCAAGGTACGCCATCAGTCATCTTGCATGTCAAGTCAAATGCGCAATGTCATCGCCCACTTGGTTGGGGCGAAGGCGTGTGCAAATGGGCGTCCATAAGGGCAGGGAGCAATGACCATGGCCGCTGCTTGATTGGGGCAGACTGCAGCGACTGCCGGTCATGGCAAGGTGCCAGCGCGGCCCTCAGGAGCCGTAGTACAATCCACGCATGCGGGAGTGCATGTACGACTGGCAAAGCTTTCAAGCACAAGAATTCCTATGAATTGCTTAACGCATGCATGTGCAGATTCTCGTGTCGTCCGCTTACTTATGCCCGCTTGCCCAAGCGGTGCAGCCTGACAGGTGTTGGGGCAGCGACCACGCCCCCGTCCCCCCCAAAAGGATGGATCATTTGTACGGTGCCAACACTCACGCTCTGCTGCAGCGATATAAGTGTCACGCAGCCCAACCAGGTATCAACTCGCCAGGGGTACATACACATTGAAGGCCCGGGCTGTGAAACCACAAGTACGCGAAGCGCAGGGTAGACACGCAGCACGTTTTCACGCAGCCTTCCTTAGCTGCCAGTGGCTGGCCATCCGCCGTCGCATGGCCCTGAAATGGATCGCAAGGGCGCCCGGTATGGGGGCAGCCGATGGCGCAGTGCTAAAGGTGCCAGGGGGTTGCGTGTGTTGTTCGTCGCAGACAAGCAGCAGCGAGCGCTGAAGGGCGCTAGGGCGCAGCTTCCGCATGGCCATGGGCGTGCAGGGAGCTGCTGGTGGTGCGGACTTTGACACCGACAGTCAAGGTGCGCACGCGGGTGGGCATCTGTTGGGCGCAGCAAGAATATGCGTGTTGGGAGGCGCCAAGGAGTTGGGAGCAGCAAGGTCGCTGGGCAAAAGGAAGGCGGCAGGGGCCAAGGCTGCGCCTGGCGGGGCCAAATGATGGTGCAAGTGCGAAGGACAGGGGAGGATTGGGTCGAGTGGCTATCAGAGGCGTAAACGCGGCGGGCTCCCAGGCCCAGCCGCTTGAGAGGCCGGCCGGCTCACGAGCGCATATGCAGACATGCAGCCACAGGGACGTACGTGTGGTGGGTAGCAGCGGTGGCAGCAACAGGTGGCTGAATGGAGGGACCGGCCACACGACTCTTGCCAACCGCAACCATGCTGATATGCGGAGCCATCCAAGGCTTGCACCAACAGCCACTACAGCACTTGCCGCACCAGCCACAAGCTGCTGGACGTCATGCAGAGAGCTGCCGGCCGACAGCACGCCAACGACAGCAGGCCACCTTGTGCGCTGATTGGGACATCAAAAAAAAAAAATTAAAAAAGGCCAGAATATAGCATGGAATGAGGGCGCCCCAGAGCACACACTCACCCAGTGCAGATCACGCGTGCAGCAGTGGGCATGTTGATGCTGCGGCTGGCAGGATACAACCCTTTAAAACGGAAGGCTGATGCCAGGCTGGAAGCTCTGGGCTTTGAAGACGATATGGGAAAGCAGAAAACGGGTCCACAAGCCTGGAAAATTCTGTGTGCAGCCTCTCACAACTGCAATCAAGGATCGCTGTTGGTTTGAGAGGGTGGAATGTTCTTGGCAAGCCCATCTGAAGTGTGGAAGGAACCAACAACCAGAGCCTTGGGGCATCACGGCAGCGACTCCCGCGCCGCCTATTGTTCGACCATGTGCGCCGCCAGCACGCCTGCCGGCCTCCGCACTGGCGCATGGCAGAAGCTTGTCTGGCGCTCAAAACGCGGCTCAGAGTGCCGGTGGCGGCCCCGTCCCCGCGGCGGCGGCTGCGGCCGCGTCTGCCAGGTCAGCAGCCAGCTGCTCCAGCGCCTCTGTGATGTCCGTGAAGCACGGCCGCTGCGACGGCGTCTGCTGCCAACAGGCCTGCGCCAGCTGCGCGATGGCGGCCGGCGTGGTGGAAGGGAAGCGGGGCCTCATGCCCATCTTGTGGACACGCTCTATGACGGCCTGGCGGGGCAGGCCCGAGTAGGCGCGCTTCTTGGTGTAGACCTCGTACATAAGCACCCCAAACGCATAGCTGTCAACAGCCCTGGTCACCTTGTTGCCCGCCAGGAACATCTCTGAGGGGAGGGGGAAAGGGCAGGGGGCGGAGAGCACAGAGGGTGCGGATGGGAGGAGAGGTCAAGGCAATGCAGGAACGTCAGCAGGCGCATCCTCGATGCTGGTGGTGTAGGATGTTCCAGCAACAGTGGCCACATGGACGGGAGCCTGCTGCCAACCGGACAGGGACGATCTGCAGCAGCAGCAGCAGCAGCAGCAGCAGCAGCAGCAGCAGCAGCAGCAGCAGCAGCAGCAGCAGCAGCAGCAGCAGTCTGAGGGCCGGCAAGGGCAGTAGCCAGCAGTTGCATCACCCACCAGGTGCAAGGTGCGTGACTGTGCCCGCCCCTGTGAGGTTGACGGTGTTGTCAGCATCGTTCAGTATGCGTGTCAGGCCAAAGTCGGCCAGCTTGGGGGTGAAGCCCAGGGGCCGCCCATGATCCGTCTTCAGCAGGACGTTCTCCATCTGGGATTGGCCATCGTGAGGATGAGGCGTGTGAGACCGTGCGTGCGCGGCCACACAGGGTTTTGATGGTCTGGATCCAAAAGAAATTACATTTCCCAGCAGATATGCTGAGAACGATGTCAAGTTGTTGCATTTGCGTTTGCGCATGAGCTGTAAAGCGCACGCAAGTGGGTCCACATAAGCGCGTACGTGCATTACCGTGTCTGCACAAGAAGGGCGAGTTTGAAGCACACGTCAACAAGGGTGCTTGGCCTTCAGCAAAGCCACAGCGCACGAGCGCTCTGCTGGCCCAGGTCACCTTATTGCACTGTGGGCCCGTTCATCAAGCCTCGTGCGTGTTTTGATGCGCCACCCCAGCCCCCCACGTGCGTGTGCTGGCGCGCACCTTGATGTCGCCGTGCATGAGGTGCATCGCGTGGAGGTACTGCACCGCGTAGGCCACGTCCAGCAGCACCGCCACAATGGCCGCCAGGTCCACGCCGATGGCGCCGTTGGGCATGGCGCGGTGGAAGTGGCCGGCCTTCATGGCGCCATACAGGGTGCCGCGGTCGCAGAACTGCAGGGCGCAAGCGGGTGTTCCAGGCGCAATTGTTGTCAGGAGTGTGGGGAGAGGGCTGGTCCAAAGGGCAGGGATGGAAGGAGCTCGGCGCCGGCGGTTTTCGACCCCTACACCCAGGGCGCCCGCTCGCGGCTGCAGCGCATGCTGTCGGGTAAATCTGCGCGTCCGAGCCGTGCGCACCCAGCCATACAGCATTTTCTTTCAAATCGCCCCCACCTCCATGACCACAATGTTGTAGGTGGTCAGCGCCCCCTCAGGGTCCTCGTTGGCGCCCAGCCGGCGGTACCTCGTGCGCATGTCTGCCGCGCCACTCACGCTGGTGCTGCGGCCCGGGTCTGACGCGGGTGGGCAAACAGTTGGTGAGGAAAAGAGTCAAGGTCCGCAGTCGACATTGGGTGTGTGCGTGTCGAGCCCTCAGGGGCACTGCGCTTCAGTGGCGGGCCGCCGCAGCTTGACGCGGTCAATCCTCCAGCCAAGCCGCATCTGTGAGTCGCCGTGCAGGGGACAGGAGCATGCATGCATCTCATGGTGCTGGTGCCCATGCACCAGCAAGCATTCACGTGCAGCGCGCAGAGTGTGTTGCGATTCACCTGTCGCCTCGACCATATCTGTGAGGCAGGAGAAGACGCTGACAATGTTGGGGTGGTGCACTGTGGACAACACCGCCATCTCGGTCGCGACCTGCAGCGCCTGAGGGATCCGCAAAGGCGACAACCGGCGGGAAGAAAAAGAGCGCTTTCAGTGGCTTCGCAGGTAGCAGGTGCTGGGCGCATCTGTGCAATTGTGTCGACGCACTCCATTTGTGGGCTGCAACTTGAGGACCCGAGGCGCACGCCACAACTCTTTGATGGACCCCAGGGCACAGCTCCCACCTCAAATTCGGTGTTCCGCGCCGGCATGACCTGCGGGCGTGAAGCAGGGGGAGATGCGTTTGAGACAGCAGGAGCTGCGCGTGCCCGACACGACTCTGCACGCTTGCAGCCAGGGGTCGGCCCCTGGCAGCTCTACGGCTGAGCAGATGGCGCCATTGGAATGTGCAGTGCAAGGTGGGGGGGGGGGCGCACCTTTGCTGCGACCGGGACCTTGTGCCACCATCCCTTGTATACCACCCCAAATCCACCTGCATGGGTTGGCATGAGTGTACACTGCTCAGCCAAGAACGCAGGTAGGAGGGCTGCACGCCTTCAAGTGACCAGCCCAAGGCGAAGTAGGCATCGGGTGCATGCACGAGTGCATGCATGCATGCGTTGGCACTTGACATACATCACCGGCATGCATGTAAAGCGCACACACGTCTATACACACACACATTCAACACACACACACGACAATCCCCACCTTGCCCCAGGACCTCCGCCACACTGAGTTCAGTCGCGTCGGCCAGGCACTGGCGCCCCTTGGATCTGAGATCCTGCTGCAGGACCTGCAGAACAGCAGCAAGTCCGGGTTTTGATTTTTGAGTTGATATAAAAGGTCGTGCAGCGCATCGTGCATAGGCACAGGGGCGGAACCCGCAGAAGCGTGTTGTCGTTGTCAAGCGAGCAGGAGCTGTCTGGATGCTTTCGAGTTGCCCAGGCTGGACCTGAAGCCCTGCGCCGTGCCGCCGCATACCTGCAGCATCGCCTCTGTGTTGAGCCGGGGATTGCTTGACACCATCGACAGCCGCGCCGACGCGGCGGGGCGCAGCGCCGACGACGGGTCGGTCCCGTTGGAGCTGGAGAGCGAGCTGCTCGGCGCCGCCGCCAGCCCGCCCCCACTGACGCTGGTAGGGGACGCAACCCCCGCCGCCGCTGCGGCGAAGGCGCTGGCGGAGCGACCGCCAGACAGACTCGAGGACAGCGCCTTGGACGTGCTGGGGGCAGATGCACTGCAGTTGGCCTGCTGAGCAGTGTTTTGGGTGTACAAGGAGAGGTGGCATGACGAGGCGGTCTCGTCGAAAAACACGCGTCATCAAGCACAGCCGGCTAGCAGGTTGCCTGAGCAAAGCCTGCCTGCCAGCAGCGCCCATACGTAGAGCTAATAGGCAATCCAATGCAGCGTCGAGAGAGCCAGCGCCGAGGGCTATGCGAAGCCAGACGGCCGAGGACGTGAGCTCATGGCAGCAGCTGCTGCTGGCGTCAGCGAGTAGTGGGCGTTTGCTTGATTCAGGGTGCTGCTGCCACGGCAGCTCATACCGGCACGTCCCACCTGGGCGACCATTGAAGCCAGCAGGTCTGCGCGGCCCGTCAGCTTGATGTGCAGCATGGGGGTGACGCCATGGATGAAGCCCTGGGGGTGGCGGCAGGGGTGCGGGCCAAAGTATGGGGTGGCTTGCATGGTGCTGGTGGCTGGTGTGGTCATCATTGTGGCGGTGGTGGTGGTGCGGTTGTGCGTGTGTGTGCATGCGTGCATGCGTGCGTGCGTGCGTGCGTGCGTGCATGCGTGTGCGTGTGTGTGTGTGTGTGTGTGTGCGCGCGCGCGCTGTACTGGTAAGCTTCGCTTGCAGACGAACAATTGATGCAGGAACACCCATTTGGTCACGTCCATGCCAACATCAACGCGCTCTCACTGCCCACCAGCAGTGTGTCCTGGATGTGCATAAAATCGCAGGGCGAGTTGAATGTGAAGTACAGGCCACCGAGCGCCGGGCCGTCGCCCGCTATCAATGGCACGACCACGATCGACGACACCAGCTGCGAAGACCGTGTGAAGACGTCCCGCGCGGGGCGGGCGCTTGACTGCGCAAAATCAGGGAGGTTCATGGCACGGCGCAGTGTCAAAGTGCTGCAGCAGCAGTTGTGCTGAGGTGGCAAGCCACGGCAAAAGCAAGAACCTGTCGCGAGGGCCGCAGAGGGAGGGGACAGCTCAGGTGAGCCGCCAGACCAGGGTCACCCCCTGCTGACCTGCATGTAAGCGGAGCAGTCCGTGATGAATCGCGCCTGCTGCCCCTGCAGCGCCGACGCCAGCAGCGTGTTGACCAGGGTCAACCGGCTGGCGATGACGTGAGCCTCCGGGTCGCTGGGCGGGGCCAGGCGGTGGTCCGACCCGAGGCTGTTGGAGCCGCTGCTGGCTGTGCCCGAGGCGTTGGCCGCGGCAGCCTTGGCTGCCGCCGGCGGACACTCGAAAACGAGAGCCTCGGGGACCTCCGGCGACTGGGCGCTGGCGATCAGCGCGAGGCGCGCGCTGGCCGCCATGTTGGTCGCGGAGTGCATGTAGCGGCCGGCGCTCTGCGAGCGCGACGCATGGCAGGCATGGGAGCCCGCAGCTACAAGGGGTCGGCAAGCAGGGGCCGCCACATGGGACTGTGCCCCAAGACTATGTAACACCTGAGCCTCAAGCAGGTTTGCTGAACGTGCTGCTGGCTCATCTCTCCCTGAACGTAGCGCCCGTAGTCGCTTCTTACTTGCAGTTGGGGTCGAGCCGCGCCCCAAACCGCATTGCGCCTGTCTTAGACGGTGCCCCACCCCATTTCAACTGATATCAATGCCCAGATGACAACAGGCCCGAGAATTTCCATGTGCATGCCATGCAATCACCAATCACCCACAGTAAGGAGCAGGCTGATCAGTGCCACTGGGTCCTGCTCGTCCTCCATCCTCGTCAGCAGCTGCGCCAGCTGCTGGATCTGCGGGTGGTACAGGTGCGGCTGCAGCCCTGCCCCCGCCAGCTGCAGGCGCACCTGCCACCTGGCAACACCAGAAGGGGTGCGCCCACGAGTCGGGTTGGCACGCGACCAAGGCTGGCATGAACCGCCGGTGCCCGCAGCTCAAAGAGGCGCCCCCACCAGCTGACGCAGGAGGCACCAACCGCTCCCCGTCACGCCTCACACGTCTCGCCTGTTCCAAGCTTTGGACCCCCCCTTTTGGCCCCAGAAACGCACCAGTTGCTGTCAAACGAGGCGGGCTCTGACTTGGCCAGCAGCAGCACGCCCAGCGGCGCATCGGGCGCGCCGATGGGCACCTGGACGAAGCTGCGCAGGGCGCCCTTGTCGCCAGTGAGGCCCTCCGGCATGCCCTCCACCTGCAACCAACCACGTTTCGGTTGCAACAGCCATGGGTCGCCAGACAGTCGGTTGAAAGGCGCTTGCGATTTGCGTGGGCCCTGTGGCCTCCTTTGTTGCAGGGGTGCATTCTTGCCAGCGGTGCGAACACGCGCGGGCGCTGGGGCGACGGGCAGGGCAAAGCCGCCTGCAGCCTGACAACCGCATATGAGGCGGCGTGTTCCGTCTGCGTCGCAATTCCATTGCTCACAGCTCACCGTGGTGTTCAAGGCGTCTTGGACTGACAGACTGCAGGCGGCCCCCACACACTTCGGCGCGTCCTCCGCGCGGCGGGTGACGATGCGGCGCTGCAGCGCGGCGGCGCCGGTGCCGTGCGCGGCCATGAGCACGCTGCAGGTGGGGTCGTCCTTTGGGACCGCCCAGATGCTGCAATTTTGAAACAAGCAGGCGCGTTTGCGTGGGTGTATTTTGAAGGTAGTGTGAGTGACTGCAAGAGCGCGGTCTGGTGGGAGAGGGCCAAGCAACTGGGTGGGAATTCAGGGGTCCAGTTGATGGCTGCTTGGTACACTTGAGTCTGCGCACGGCAGGCGGTGGCAGTACGCCTGGTGGCACGATGACCCTGTGCCCGGCGGCCGCGCATGCGGCGGGCCCGCCGCGGCTCACGCGACGAGCTGCGTCTTCAGGCGGATGCACAGCAGCTCAGCCGCCTCCTGCAGCCCGATCAGCGGGTTGCCGTGTATCATGGCCAGCTGCTGCTGCAGCGCGTGCACCTGGGGTCGGCGCCACGGGCGCGGGGGCAGGAGCAGAGGCGTGTATGAGGGGAGGGCGGCGTGCGGCGCTGCCATTCCACCGACGGTGCCCGCGAGAGAGCTCGTGCCGCTGCATCATCGGAGCTGTTGGCTCGGTTTGAGCGCCGGCTGGTCGCTCGCGCTGCCCACGGTAGGGGAGGGCGGCGCGGTTTTGACGACGCTCACAGTGGGCTCGGCAGGCGCGTGCAGAGCGGGCAGCCAATGCTAGAACTGCCTTGGGGGAGCGGCACGGGCTTGCAGTGTGAAAGGGTCCCCACGGGCTTGCAGTGTGAAAGGGTCCCCACCCACCTCCGACAGAAACCCAGCCATCGGCGCGGAGCTCAGGCGCATGAGTGTGATGCTGCCGACGCGCCCGTTGCCCTTTGCCTTTGCGTACGGATCTAGGCTCGAGAGGCGGCTGAGCGGGTGCGCTGGAGGCGGCGACGGTTTCCCGTTGTCCTGCTCCGCCGGCGCCGCGCATTCCGCCGTGCGCCACGCCGGGACATCCGGCCCATCCGGTGTGGATGCACAGGCGCCCATCGCGTAGTTCTATTCAACCTCCTAGCCGATGTGTGCCTTTGTGCGTCACTGGGCCGCAAATGGACCACGGCGGTGTAAGATCGCTCGGCAAAGCTGGACACCTGAGTGGGATCCTGATAAGGTCACGAATGACGTAGCCAACGAACCTCTGGCTCGCCTGTTGAGGCCTCGTCCGCTGTCGTCAGCCTGGCGAAGCGGGGTGTGTCTGGGCGATGAGCCGTCGTGAGTGCGGTGCGGTTTGATATCTGCGTAAATTTTGGCACATCACGAGCTGGCTGAGCCCTGCGGTAGGTTCGCCGGCCACGATAGCACCGCAGTGACGCTGGCTGTGTGTTGTGGAGAGGCCAGAAAAGGCCTAGCATTTGGCCCGAATCGCCCCTGCTCACTCATGGTACGCTTGTGAATAAATTTGTAAGAACCTATGAGGATATACAGGGTTGGAGAAGGCTTGCAGGCAGAGTTCCCACCCAGCGGCAGCCACCTGCACGCTGTGCTCTCACCCCGGCTCACGCCCCCCAGAACACCGTGCAGTCGTGCGCTTAAAGCGCAGCAAGAGGCAAGCGCGTCTATGTCAGTCGTTTCGGATTTGTTTAGCGATGGCCAGTTGCTTGTGAGCGGCGCAGCTTGCGGTTGTGAGAAATTTCTTTCTGGTGCTGGGTCAACTGTGTGGATTGAACGAGCCCACAGTGTTAGGTCACTACGCGTGCGCTTTCCACATGCAAGTTCTACCACCCATGATATGACACCAATAACGTGATGCGCATGCCAGGGGCCCGTACCGCAGGCCAGGGTGTGAGGCAGGTGGTCCTAGGTAGGATAGACATGATTCGGATTGCTGGTGTCGTCGTGCTATCCGAACCTGATTGATGAGCGACAAAATGAGTCTTGTCCAACTGTCATTGCGGGTCTGAGTGCGGCAAGCTATCAGAGGTAGCCGTTTCGAGCATGGTCGCCTGCTTGGTTGATGCCTTTCCTATGTTGCCTGCAAGTTTGATGGCTGCCTCACATAATCAGGCGGCTGGCGCTGGCCGCTGCACACGGTCTCACAGCTGGTCCAATCAGTGAGGCAAGGTCCTGCAAGTGTAAATTCTACCTGGCAAATGTCGGCTTCAGGCTTATCACTGCTCCTCTACATCGGCACTTATGGCTAGTTTCAACTAGGTTTGCCGATGGCACAGTGAGAAAATAACCCAAAAAACCACCAAAAACCTTGAATAACCTCAAAAAGCCTTGAATAACTTATCAAAACGCTTGCAAACGCATATAAAACCTATATCTGCGCGGCTGCCTGCAGCACAGATCACCACATGGCCAGCAGCAGCACCCCCATGCAGGGCCTAAGATGGCGCCAATCAAAGCTGCATGCAATTGCATGCTTTGTATATGCATGATCGACGCGTATACAGGGGAAGAGGTTGATCGTGCAGGCTTGGTCATGGCCCGTCACCTGGCGAAGTGCGCGGCACTGAGCGGAATCCGCGTATGTATGTGGCGAGCCCTGTAACATTCTTGACAAGCTTTTCTATGGTTTTTTGGTTTTTGAGGTTTTGTACGCTGGCACTTTGCATTCGGCAAACCTAGTTGAAANCTAGCCATACTTGTTATGGCTGTTTGCAACTAGGTTGGCATGTTGGCTGGCGTGCTGCCGCAGAAACTCGGAAAACTAGAAAAACTACGAAAATAACCAAAAACCTCATATCATCATCTACATATACAAGATCGCTGAGTGATCTGGCTCGATGCACCGTGGGTTTGCGTAGTGCTTCTGTTATGTGTATGTTTTTCGCAGTTTTGTAATTGTTTTGCTTAGTTTTCCGTAGTTTTTCGTAGTTTTTCAGTTTTTTGTAGTTTTTTTTGGCGCCGGCCAACATGCCAACCTAGTTGCAAACAGCCATNAATGCGGAGAGCAATGCGCTTGTGGGGGACATGCATTTCGGCAAGGCATCATCAGTGGAAATTTGTTGCAGGCTCTACACAACCGTGCTCACACTCATTACTGCCTTGCATGCAGCCAATACGGTCATTGTGCGCCAGCCAGGCAGCCACGCACCTACGCCCTGCCGCCACCCACTCTTTCACCCGCAGCGACCGCTTGCGACGCAAGTGCCCGCGCACCTTGAACCCTCAGTCGGTGTAAAAGCTGTTCTCGCATCATCTGGTCTGACCTGGCACAGAGAGATCTGCGCAGGCGCGCATGTAGGTTTGGACTGCTGCTGTGCACTGAGGGCCGACCCAGCGAGAGCATGACGGCCGGCCATGACCAACTCAGCACGCCAGCCGAGCGAAACTGCTCGGTGGCTCAGGACGCACCATACAATACATGACCGCAAAATTTGATTCTCCCCACTCATGAAGGAAAGATTTGGAGACGTGATCAACGCGCATCCAGTGATCTTGAAGTCGCCGAGCATCTATCTGTAGGCTTTCGAGTATAAGACTTTCGAGAGACGGCTAGTGAATACAACCCTGTCATCTCGCGTCAGCACTGCGGCAGCAACGTGTCGCGCGCGCTGCCAGTGCTGCGCCGCGCTGCCAGTGCTGCGCCGCGCTGCCAGTGCTCGAGGGGGGCGGGGGGCCTGCTGCAGCACCCGCAGTGCCAACAGGGCAATAAGCACGGAGGTCTTGTACGACGTAGAGGGGCATGGGTACCTACTACATCGCTGGCCACTTGGCAGGGGAGCTTATTGATGAGGACGAGGACGTTGCGGAGGACAGGCGCGTGCAGGGGGGCGGGGGGCGCAGGCACAGACAGCGCCGGCGTAAGGAGAGCAGGAGCACGCGCAGCGGGCGCGGCGCCTGCGGCTGGGCTGCAGATCGTGTGGCCGGGACCGCATTGCAGGGCGCCCGCGACACCGGCATCGGCGGGGCGCCGCGCTCATGCTGGCACTGCCCGAGCTCTGCATGAGGGGCCGGTGTGTCTGGCCCTCTCATCGCCAAGCAGACCCCCCCCCCTGCCGGCCATCCCATGTAGCCCCCACCCCTTCGACCTTTGCCCAGGACCTACGAGGCGTTCGAGCGGCGCTATGCAGGAGATCACTCGTGGGAGGGCCTGCAGGAGGACGAGCAGGGCCGGCTGCGGCCGGTGGTGAGCAGGGGGATGGCCTCCTGCTCTGCCCGCCCGTCGGAGCGCGGTCGCCAATTTCCCGCTCGCGCCACGGACCCAGGGGCACTGGACTGCGTCAATCGTGTTGGTCGGGCAAACTCTTCATTCCCGCCCGCCCATGGGCCCCGCTCGCCAGCCCCTGCGACGCCTCCGACGCCGCCGCCGCCGCCCGTCCGGCCCCTTACCGCCCCTTGCCGCGCCCGCACCCGCGCCTATGCCCCCGCCCCTAGGACCCCACCGCCGAGCTGCGCGCGCGGCGGCTGCGCATCATCGACGCCGCCCAGTCAGCGCGCATCAGAAAGGGCATGATACGCTACGTGCTGCTGGTGGGCGCCTGGCCAACGGGCGCCCTGCCCGCGCTGCAACGCCTGCGGCAGCGAGCGTCCCCTTATCTTCCGCCAAATCACGGCCCCACACTTCCCTCCCAATATACTGTCAACCTCTTTATGTTGATGTCCTTCACAGACGTCGACACGCACACACCGCACTGCATCACACACACTCGAGAACATGCACACGCACAACCGTGCACGCGCACACACATGAACACATCCCGGCCCCACATTCAAACGCACTGGACACGCCCACGCCCCTCCTGCCCCCACCCCGGCCAGGTCATCGACCTGTCCCGCGCCGCCGCCGTCCTCGACATGCGCCCCTCGCGCCTCGCCGTCATGACGGGCGCCGCCAAGGCCTTCATACGCGCCTTCTTCGACCAGAACCCGCTGAGTCAGCTCGGCGTCGTCGCGGCGCGCGGCGGCGCGGCGGCGCGGCTAACAGAGCTGAGTGGGAGCCCGGAGGCGCAGATCGCGCAGCTGGGGGCCGCCATGGCTACGGGTGCGCGGGGGAGGGCCGGTCGAAAGGGGTTGCAGGGGCCGGGTCGCCGCCGCCGCTGCTGTCACACCGCGCGGGAATGCGCCGTGCGGTGCGCTCATTGGCCGATACCGCGCGACCGCTCTTGAAGTCGCACTTGCCGCCTTGCCAGCCCAAATGACACACACACACACACACACACACACACACACACACACACACACACACACACACACACAAACGCAAGCGCACGCGCACGCGCGCACAC